TGCCCATATCCACACAGCCATCCGTTGACATGGCTGCGGGAAAAAAAGGGGCAATACATAAACAATAATAAATACAAACTAGAAAAAGGAATGTGAAGAGGGGAGGGAGAAAGTGGCCGGTGGAGAAGGAGGAAAGTGGCCAGTGGAGGAGGCCGGTGGAGGAGGAGGAAGTGGCCGGTGGAGGAAGTGGCCGGTGGAGGAGGAAGTGGCCGGTGGAGGAGGAGGTGGCAGGAGGAAGTGGCCGGTGGAGGAGGAAGAAGTGGCCGGTGGAGGAAGTGGCTGCTGGAGGAGGAGAAGCCCGACACAAGAGACACGAAGTGAGAAGAATGAGAGGAAGAAAGGAGATAAGACTCACAAAGGGAAGACAAACACTGATGAAAGGGAAGATAAAGGAGAGGAGCCCTGGAGAGACGCGGCCGTGGTGAGAGAAGCAAATGGACACTGGAGGGGGCGCTGACGGGAGGAAGGGGCCATACAAGAGGGAGGTGAAGGATGCGGGGGTCGTGAAAGTGTGTGTGTGTGTGTAGGATCAAAGAGGGTGAGTGGAGTGGGTGTGAAGGAGGTGGGTTGAGTGAGGCATGGGTGAGGGGAGGGAGGGAAGGAGGAGAAGGGGAGGAAGGAGAAGAAGGAGGAAGGAGAGGGAGGAAGGAGAGAAAGAAGGAGGGGAAGGAGAAGGGAGGGAGAAGGAGGGAGAAGGGAGGGAAGGAGAAGAAGGGAAGGAGAGAAGGGAGGAAGAGAGAAAGAAGGGAGGAAGGAAGGGAGGGAGGAGGAAGGGGGGAGGAAGGAGGGAGGAGGAGACAGGGGAGGGGGGCTGTTGGGAAAAGACAAATGGGAAGCAGTACGCCTCATAAGGTCTGGTAGGTCGGCAGCTTAAGTGGGGCCGCCCGCCCGTGCCAGGTCCTCCTCACCACCACTACTTCTCTTGGACTGTTCGGTGTTCTTTATGGTCTCTTTTCTGGGTGTTCTATGTTCTTCAGCTATCCTGACTGTCGTCGTCTTTTGTAGGGCGCACACACACACACACACACACACACACACACACACACACACACATATAATCCCCTGACTGTGTTCTTTTTATCCCCCCTTGTCTGTCTTGTTTCCTTGCCCGGACAGGTTATCTCATTCACATCCTGGAGATGCATTAATGTGAGGGAGAGAGATGTATGGAGGGCAGAACCAGTGTTTTTGAAGGGGGAGCACGGAAGGGGTGGACCGAGAGAGAGAACGAGAGAGAGAGAGGTCTTAGACGGGGAAGGGGCAACTGGTGGTCTGGAGGTGTGGGTGGTCACGGGACAGGAGATCCATTGTTTTAGACGGGGGGAGCAGCTGGGGATGAGGAGGAGGGACGGGGACGGTTTTCGGGAAGGAAGGTGAGAATCGGGGACGGGGGAAAAGGGTGAGTGAGACGGATTGGAGACTTGGGGTGACGGTGATGGGACAGGAGAACCAGTGCTAATGATGGAAGGGATGTGGCTACAGCAGAGGCAGGAACAACGTCATTACCACCACCAGAGGGCACCAAGTTACCCCACAAACACGTCCTCCTCTCCCAGCCGACGTCGTGTAATCCCAAGACTCGACCCTGGTCATTACTTTCCGAGTTGCTTAAGCCGCTGCCTAATGTTCCCTGCCGGAGCTAAGCGAACACTAAGGCGTCTCATTATCTGGAGATATACAAGGGTGGGGTGGACGGGGGAACAGGGATGTGTGAAATTTGTAATCTGTGGCGGTAGAAGTTGACAGATCTCCAGAAGCCAAAGGTAGAAGCAACAGTTTAGGTTAGTGAAATCTAAGTTTTGGCTTTACCTAATACAACATGGTGTTATGTTCCCGTATGCTGCATTATGGTCTGTTATGTTACACTACGTTACATGTACTGCCACGTCACGTTACCACACACTCACTGCAGCTGCGTCATTTGTCAAGCAATTACCTCAGAAACACGTGTCATTCCCAGGTGTTGTGTTGCAATTGCAGGTGTCCCCCACAACGACATGTCTCAAGCCTGTAGGTGTCGGTCTGTCAGTATAGTAGGTAATGCAAATTTCTCTTTACTGTCCACTGAAGACGAGGACACGCTAAGCCGGGTGACCATGAAGCTCCCTGCACGTCCCCTTGAGTCTCTCGGTCAGGTGATGATCCACTGCTTGTGTTCGTCTTGCTCAATTTATGGTCTGGTGTTTGTGCTGTCCTGTTACATCAATAGACCAGTCGGTGCTTGATGTCTGTCAGAAGATACATCACGGCTTGTGCTTGTCTTGCTCAATTTATGGTGTCGTATTTGTGCTGTTGAAAACTGATAGACTTGTCAGTGTCTAACGTCTCGGTCTACTAATAATCTAGTGTTTGTGCTGTCAATCCCGTCACGGTCTAGTGCTTGATGTATTACTCAACTGATAAACCAGACAGTGCTTGTGCCTGTCCTAACGATGCTTCCTGCCTAGAACTATGAGGATGAACCTGTGCTTGATGTCTTGCTCGAGTGATGGTCCAATGCTTGTGTTGTCGTGCTAAATTAATGGACCAATAAATGCTTGTGTCTACCGTGATGATGCTTGCTTGCTGCGGTCTTGATGGGGAAGCAGTCACAAGCGTGTGAGGGAGGGGAAGCAAAAGTGTGTGGTGTGTGTGTGTGTGTGTGTGTGTGTGAGGGAGTGCGTGTGTGTGTGGGGGAAGAGGTGTGTGGGGGGAGGGCAATGTGTGTGTGGGGGAGGGGGGACAATATGATAAACACTGATGAAGGTATCACAACCACTGCTCTATAATAATTCTTCTGGCTAAGTTCGGGGCATGTTGGGGTCAACGGCGATGCGGCTCCAGGTATTGCGTCTCAGTGTGTGTGTGTGTGTGTGTGTGTGTGTGTATGTATTCGTCAGCGTGTTGGTGTTTCGCGTCCTTGGCCTTAAGAAATAATCCAGGGCTTTTAACACTTGGGAGACGGGCCCAAGGTTCTTCAGGCTGGTGACACTAAGTAGACATAATATTTGTGTGCATGCGTGTGTGTGTGTGTGTGTGTGTGTGTGTGTGTGTGTGTGTGTGTGCATGGGTGCGTGTATGGGTGCGTGTATGTGTTCTATTTGGTTACACACTATCTTTCATTACCTTTAAATCATTCTGTGACCTCTCTCTCTCTCTCGAATGTTACAGCGGTTTCCCCAGGTTGTGACAATGTTATGCCAACACCTGCCCCATGACCACAACACAACACAGCCCCTTACCTACACAACACCCAAGCTTCTCGCTCTCCCCCTAGATTTGTTTTTATTTCTCTTCCACACGAGACACAGACAGAGACGCACACTGACAGACCAAGACGCACACCCTGTCTCGCACTATACCTTAATATCTTTGTCTCTCTACTTACATATCTTTCTGTCAATCCATATCTGTCTCATTGTTCAATCTCTGTATTAGTGTTCCATCTGTCTGTCTGTCTCCTCACCTACACAGCTGTCTGTCAAAATATAGTGGAGGAATTTACCTTGTCTTGTGGTCCCAGAGAAACACTATTTCCCGGTTTGGAAACTCGACAACAATAATAACAGCAATAATTTAAATAATAAAAATAAATAACAATAATAATAATAATGAGTACACCGAATAATAATAATAATAATAATACCAGAATTAATATTTATAATAATAATAATAATAATAATAATAATAATAATACCAGAATTAACATTTATAATAACAGCCTAAAAAGTCAATTAGAAACTTTTACGGAGGTCTAGATCCCGGCGAACAATCCAAGTAAACACAACCTAGCGAACAAAAACCTCCAACAAGGGGAGCGGGGGAAGTAATATAATATTTATGGTGCCCAGGACAAAAAGAGGCTAGCTAGTTGGTGCCAGACCTCCGGACGTCAGCTGGGGGCAGGTTCATTACTCTCTCCCTAAGGCACTGGTCTCATTTGCCGAGACACGCAGTGACGCTATACACTACAGATAGACGAACACGTACTCTTAACAAATAATACCCAAGCATCAAGTTAAGGTATACAACACTACATACAGGTCATACGCTATCAGCCAAGGTCAACAGCATGTGCTACTCACTCGAGATAAAATCAACCATTATGTTAAAACTCGGCTTACAGGAACACTTGTCAGCTGCATGTTAGAGGTCAACCTGGGGTAGCTACATGTCGTAAACTGCTGAACGAGTTGTCAACTATCACCCTGGAGGTCACGAGATCAACATACAGGATACATAACAGGAAATACACATACAGGATATATAAGCTAGAGATATACATAGAAGATATATAACAGGATACACATATACTGGAGACATGACATCCCGCACACGTCCCCAGTCCTCACCTCCAGTAAAGACAATGTATCACAATAACAACACACACACACACACAGGGCGACTGCCTTCCTGAAAATAAAACGCCTTGGATATCTTGACAGGCTGAAGGCTTTGGGACTGACAGCTGTTCAAACCAGACCAGACAGCCCACACGAGATACAATCAAAATTTGTTAGATCCGGCTTTCTTTTTTTTCACATTCTCAAAGATTACGCTAAAAAGTGGTCAGTTTCAAGCTTATCTACTCAGAACAGATGGAAATTTATTATTATTTGTTTTATTTACAGACGTGTGGATTAAACCTTAAAACAATTATAAGGTAGAATGGAGGAGCAGTATAAACCCCAGGGCTCTCCTCTTGCCGACTAATCCACGACTGGACGTGGTGACCAATAAATAAACACACCCCGATGAGAATAAGCTTTTAACGGCATACTAAGTCTACCCTTTGTTGAATCGACTTAGTGTGCGCCATTGGTTGTGTAATTATACTGTCTATATATGCATGCTAAACCAATGTGGCTTTGTATGAGTATTTTTATTGAATATCTGTCAAATTAGCAGCGCCGTGGTGTTTATGGTTAACCTTACGAGATTTTTTTTACCATTTTAAAAACCAAATTGCAAGGCCTATTGATAGTTAAGGGTCATCATCCTGTTGCATCTCACTCACTCACCGCTTGACAGCTGGTCAGGACGTGGCACCAGCTGATTGTGGCAGTGATGAAGAGGTGAGAAGTCGTCAACAGTCACCACTACACCGTCCAGTCACACGTGCACCAACACTACTCTCCGATAATCACGTGTAGGGTCGTTGTGTTGGTCAAACTCCTCAGAAGAAAATGTTCGGTATATTTTATCAGTATTTTATCAACGACACGTTAGTTTGATAATTTGTCTCATTACAGTGAAAAAATGTAACAAGTTAATAATCGACTTCAAATGACATATCATCTACCAGTACAATGTCTTACACTCGGCAGTTAATCGTGTATTAATGGATTGAGTTTGTCTTGTGTTGTAGCGCGACTACAGTGACGAAAACACTCCCTCAAGAGCAAAATACTCCACCCCTCTCTCTAGCCAACGCGGTACTGAGCCTGAGGCGCCTGAACACATGGCTATATGCCCTGCCCTCCCCTCTGTTGCAGCTGCTCCCCTCCCCCTCCCACGAGGCTCCCTCTGTCCTACCCTTCTTTATTACTTACACTCATTTCCTGGTAGGATTATTCTTTCCCAACATGGTATTATGGCAGTTTTAACCTCATTCTGCAATTTACCAGGAAGAAATTGACATGAGACTAGAGAAATGCGCGGTGGACGTTCTGGTGGTCACCCGACATGAATAACATTCTTAGTCGATCATCCAAGCACGCGGGTTACTCATTGACAATTTAGTCACGTACTGACGCGGAGGTCCTGTAATCCCCCCCCCCCCTCCCCCCAACCTTAAAAAAAAATCACGCAGGAAAATCTTCCAATATGACTAATGTTGGTTAAGTACACAGCACAACAAGAAGCTATTTATTTTCGACGATTTTTGCTTGAAACTGCAACCGTATTATTTATATTTTGTTTCAGCTGGTCATTATGCCCAAATCTATTTATTACGGTATTTCATAAGGAATAAATGACACTGACTTTTGGTATACAAACAAAAAGTGCAAGGCGACAACCTTTAAGTCATCAAAACAAGTTACCTGAAACGATGAAGATAATGTGGAAGATAATTAAACATTTTGAGCTGTCCTGTTAAACCAAAAGCAATAAATATTGATTCTTGCAGCATGTTTACACCTTGCGTGACACAAGTACAGACATTACACCTCGCGTGACACAAGTAGACATTACATCTCGCGTGACACAAGTACAGACATTACACCTCGCGTGACACAAGTAGACATTACACCTCGCGTGACACAAGTACAGACATTACACCTCGCGTGACACAAGTAGACATTACATCTCGCGTGACACAAGTACAGACATTACACCGTGGAAATTACACACACCGCGTGACACAAGTACACATTACACCTCGCGTGACACAAGTACAGACACACCCGCGTGACTAAGTACAGACATTACACCCTGCGTGACACAAGCAGACACACCCCGCGTGACAAGTACAGACATTACACGCGACACAAGTACAGACGTGCGTGACACAAGTGCAGACGTTACACCCGCGTGACACAAGTGCAGACATTACACCCTGCGTGACACAAGTGCAGACATTACACCCCGCGTGACAAGTATGAACATTACACCTCGTGACAAGTACAGACATTACACCTGACGCAGACATTACACTCGCGTGACACAAGTAGATATTACACCCCGCGTGACACAGTACAGACATTACACCTCGCGTGACACAAGAGACATTAGCACATTACGCGGACCACTCATACAGACATTACACCTCGCGTGACACAAGTAGACATTACACCTGACACACAAGTACAGACATTACACCCCGCGTGACACACACAGTACAGACATTACACCTCGCGTGACACAAGTACAGACATTACACCTGACACAAGTAGACATTACACCTCGTGACACAAGTACAGACATTACACCTCGCGTGACACAAGTACAGACATTACACCCCGCGTGACACAAGTGCAGACATTACACCTCGCGTGACACAAGTACACTTATTGGTAAACTCGAACGCACTTGACAATACTGTAGACCTGCCAAGACAATATACTGTAAATATTATAAATAGGCCTTAATTAGTTGAATGAATGACATTCAAAACAATTATAATAAAAATATACACATTTAAACACCATTAATAATAAAATATGTACTATAAATTGGCGTAATTGTTTAAATGAATACATAATTACGTAATGTGAAAATATGTAAAATAGTGCTTACACAAACACACACACACACGCGCACACACACACGCGCGCACACACACACACACACTCACACTAAGGAAACTTGGCCCAGCTAGAACATGACAAGGTTAGTCAGTCAGCGGCTGTACCAAGGCTGAACCTGTTGACGTCACCAGTTCTCGAGTTATGGAACATACAAACACACACACGGCATCTGGGGGATGGTAGGGAAATAATAACCTTGTTAGTAAAGTTCAGTACAAAAATATATTATTAATTCAGGAAAGATCAGTCAAAGACCCATACCTATACAACACAGGTGAAGTAAAACTTATCTGGGTGACAAACAAAACACTGGTCAGCCTCCACACACAGTCATGGAATCAGTCAACCCAAGTTAATACTACAACCAAAACAAGAGTTTAGATAATGCTCTCCCATGTGTGTACCTCCCCTGCCTCATCCCAGAATGGTAAATATTCACTAACTGCGGTACACGTCACGATAATATATAAACAGCTGCTCGACCATAAACACAGGAATATCCTCCTCCGCCACCCCACCTACTGCCCCTCGACTATATTTTGGTGTTTCTGGTATATTTTAGGTTTACACACATACACAATGACTAGTGGAACCCCTTTGGTACTATCCCAACTGCAGTCTCTCTCTCTCTCTCTCCTCCTTCATGACTGTTACTCCCTCCCCCGTACTGGAGGAGTGCCAGCGGTCATCTGTGGCTCAGTGCCACTACCTCGTCTGGCATCTCTGATTAATATGCTCCTCCACCTGCCCCGTCTCTGTTACTATGGTCACACACCCACACACACGTACACACACACATGTACACGCACACACAATAATATACTCACACACACGCACACACACACATACAATATACACACACATGTACACGCACACACAATAATATACTCACACACACGCACACACACACATATATAGTCTCACACATACACTAACAACACTGCCTTAAATTCCCAAAGATATTTCCCTGTTCATCGGGCATCACTTATTATTGTTTTCGCTGTAACAATACTGGACTGTGCCGTTTACTGTGTGATGTACTTATTTCTGAAACGAGGTTATTATTATTATTAGTAGTAGTAGTAGTAGTATGTGTGTGTGTGTGTGTGTGTGTGTGTGTGTGTGTGTGTGTGTGTGTGTGTGTGTGTGTTTGTTTGCTCCCCACTGCATTAATTGACGTGTCTTCATTCACCCAAGTGTTTATTTTCACTTCTTGGCAAGACACAAACACACACTACACATCTGCAACACACCTGACACCATCTACCCATCTCCACACATCTCAGAGCTATTAAATAACTACAATGTACCCACATCTACTTACAATTTACAAATGTTTACAAATTAGGACATTTACAACTTATTACTATTATTAATGTTTCTAAATTATTAGTATTGCTCCTATTACTATTGTTGTTATGATCGTTGTATTTATTACCATCATCACGTTAAATGGCTCCACTAACTAATAATCACCAATATTATATAACATCGTCCCTACATCTCTCACTCTTGAATCATTAGTAGTGTTATGACCGCCATGCCGTCATAGGGGCCGCAGCTGACCTTATACGGGCAAGGTATGCGAGGCAGCCCAGGAACGTGTGCCGGGGGGGGGGGGTATGGTCTAAACATCCTGGTCCTAGGAGCGGCTGTCACCCTCCCTCCTCCCTCCTCTTATTACGGATAAGCTACCCTCCCTCCCTCCTTCCCTCCACTAACCAACCAACCATCCCTCCATCCCTCCCTCCACCCACCCACCCACTCTCCCTGCCTTCCTTTCTCACTCAAACACGCCCTCATCAAACTTTCACTCCCTTCCTTCCCCTCCACCCCTGTTTCTAAGACCCACACCCACGGTCATACCCCACACCCACAATACTCACACACTAACCTCGCCAGCAACACCGTCTGACCCACGTTAAAGTTTATATAAAATTTTTTGGGGGGTCGTCTCATGCCCCTTGCCCTAACTCCTGCCCCTCGTTTATAGTTTATGCTCACGCTTCACGGTCCATGCTCACGCTTCACGCTCCATGCCCACACGTCCACACTCCTAAGACTTCCCACCAACACCGTCACTTGTGTGGTAATCGGCCAACTCTTTACCTAAACCTTACACCGACGCCCACATTTCCGCCCGCCCACACCATACGCCCACCCTTGCACCCACCTACACACATACCCACCCACTTTACTCACACAGTTCCACATCCTACCTCAGTGTCCACTACCCACCCACCCACCCACACCACACCCCGTCACGCCCACGAGCCAAGAGGGGTGAGGTTGGCGGGCCAGACACTGGAGACGGTAATAAGCTATCATACGAACCACTCATGACCTGGGCACGTTTATTATCCGATGTGCATTCTTGTTTATATCCGGGGCGGGTAGACGGTGTTTATATCCGGGGCGGGTAGACGGTGGTACGGGAGTCTGTCTGTGTCTGTCTGTCCCATTCACTGTTCTCTCTCTCTCTCTCTCTCTCTCTCTCTCTCTCTCTCCATCAACTTTCCTCGGTGTGTCACTCATATTAACATTATTTCCTCCCCTAAAAGGACGTAAAGTTAAATGAATGGAAACGTGAGCCAATAACAACCAGGGTATAAGAGGTGTGGACACGTCAGGGTGAACACGTGGGTCTCGAGTGGCCAGGGCTGTGGTCACCTCTATAAACAGTCATGCTTGTCATCTTGTAGGCACACACACACACACACACACACACACACACACACACACACACACACAGAGCTTGGTGGTGGTCTAATGAAGCAACACAGATAATTTTATTTTATTTTTTTGCTAGTGAGAGATGATTGTGAGGCCAGTGTGTGACACTCGGCTTGGCCACTTGACACATTCAATGAGTCATTAAACTGGACTTTACGGTGAGTCCGTTACTGTGACTGCTGAGCCTGAGTCATTGTCGGAAATAAATTAAACACGTATTTGAAAACAACAATATTAACAGTAAAACTAACAACTACAAACACAAAACCAATAATAATAATAATAATAGCAACAACAATAACACGAAGAACAATAATAACACATGGTAATAACAATAGCAAGAACAACAATAACAAACAACAACAAACACAGTAACCACAACAACAGTCCCCGAAAAACTTAAGTTTTAAAATCTAATCAGATAAACTTTGATTACCTGATAA